ATCCAGGATAAAAAGTGGGCTAACACACAATAGATAGAGTGATTGAGAGTCTGGAGAGGAAAATGAAGATATGATAAAGACACATTATGTAAGAAAAAGAAGGGAAAAGAGGAAAACAATTAAAAACTGTAGGAAATGCAAAAAGCTACACAATGAAGTCATGATCCAAATGCAAAACAACTAGTCCAAATTAGAACAGGAAATCAGTGGGTTTCATGAAGATAAGTGAAGTGGATTGTAAATAATAACAAGAATTAAGAAGCTAGTAGACTTTTTTTAAGGCATAAGATTCTTTCCCCTACTTTAAAAAAAAAAAGTAAGAAATTCAGAGAAAAACAAAAAGCTGTTTCAAAGTTATAACCCACATATGATGCAAACCAAAATAGATGTGATTTCTGAGCAACTGGTGACATTCAAGAAAGGGCTATCCATTTGAATATCTCTTTTAAGTAGTATGGAATCATGACATTGGCAACAAAGAGAAACAGCTTTGCAGTGAACATTTCCCTACTGATAATAATGCAAAAGCTGAATATCAGTTTTCAACAATGGGGATCAACCTGCAGATGGAGGATGGGGAACTTCATTTGATTACAGCATAAATAAGAATAAACCTTGACAATGTCAAAATAAAATTACAGCCAACCCAAGATGGGAGGTAGCAAGAAGAACGGAGAAGAAAGAAAAGGTAGGGTACGGGTGCGGAAGGGAGAACAGGTGATAACCACTTTTCATTACAAGCCCTTTGATCTGCAGGCATGATATTGAGCAAAATAACTTAGAATGTTTTAAGGAGGAAGCTGTTACCAGCAGCAAATGCCACAAAGAGGTCAAATGAGAAAGAGCTAGATTCGGCCTGAAAGATCACAGATGAACTTGAAGAGGATCATTTCCATAGAATATTGGAATGGTCACCAGAGTTTGGTGGGCTGGGAAATGAATGGAAAATGAAGACCTGAAGAGGACAGGTATATCTAGCAGAACTCTAAGGACAGGAGAGAAAAGGAGAAAGGTTGCTAACAAGAGGGATTAAAAGGAAAGGGGAGGTTGCTGTTGCTACCTTTATTTATATGGAAAAAAAACCTGAGCATGGTTTTAACTGGATTGAGATGAAGAACAAATAACACGTAACGAAATCCAGAGTGCCAGGTGAGGAATCAGCCTTGTACAGAAGAAGGGACATCTATTCTTCTGAAATGTAAAGAAATGATGTAGGGGTGGACTCCACTGAGGAGGCAGAAAGCTGGTGAGCAGATCATGGACAGCGTCTATCCACTAATGAAGCGTATCTTGACCGTTCTGAGTACACTGCAAGTTCATTTGGAAAACAATCAGATGGGAACATTTTGAAAACAAAAAAATTAGCTGAGAGTAGGGTTTCTGATCATGCCACCCAAAGCTAGGAGATCCGTGTGAAAATGTATGTGCCAAAATTAGCACTTTAAATTTGGGAATAACATCAATTGCATTCTCTGTATTATGAGTTAATATCACTACTTTAGTATTATAATTTGAGAGCTACTTTTTTTTACATGTGCTCCATCTTCCTTTCAAATTAATCTAATTACTATGGTAGGTTGTTATTTGGCTACTAAATATTAAAAATAAAAATCCATGTTTATGACAGATTTTAGAAAGGTACTCTGAGTTATCGGTTCTTTTTCAATGGGTACGCAAATGAGTAGAAAAACTTGTTAACTTTATTTTAAACCGTGGCTGTCTTGGCAAAATTTATCCATGCTTTTTGCTTTTTAAATTTCTGTTAATGGCCTTCCATCCTACAGTAGTTCTTCCTCTGGGCATTTATGCTGCTGAAACAGTGCTATGTTACTCCATGCCAGGCTTGCCCTAAGTAACCTGAAGTCTGCAGACAGATTTTAATAAAATGAAGACATGTTTTTCCTCCAAAGGTTTTATTTTAAATTAAGATATAAGTAAAGCCATAATTTTGAGACTGCAAAAATAGGTAATCCCATTAGAAATAAAACAACAGCTAAGGGTATTCTGAAGCATGGTGACTGGGTTAAAAAGTCTGGGAATAAAAGTAAATCTGTGATGACCACTGCTACGTGTGGGTCATTGCTAAGGCAGCCCCAGCTTAGGAACAGGAATATGGCAGGGAAAGACGGTAGTGAGCTTAAAGGGAAGTATTCATTGAGCAGTTTCCATTGTGTGGCCTGGATTACTGGAACATGATACGGTCAGACTCTAGTATAACACCGCTCAAACCAGACCGAAGGTTGTTTACAATACCCTGGGCAATCTGAGACTTTGAGATTTTAACAATGGTATCAACTGACTCAAACGTTTTTGAATAACGTAATTAACAGTGATTTATCACTTCACATGAATGTGTGTCCAGCTTACGAAAAGGCTACCACTGAGCCCTTTCATCTCACACATAACTGAAAAAGTGAATTTGTGATCCTGGTATCGCTCTGTATTAAAAAATTACAAAGCAGGTTTTTAGAGGTGAAATAAAACTTGACTTCCATCATCTCACCAACCACTTTGCTTTCTTAGTCTACACTCTGCCTATTTCTGGTTCTTGGTAAGCCTTACTTATTGGTCTTACCCTTGTCTTTAGTAGCCTTTTAAAATCACTGCCTATTCTTGTACGCTTGGTGTAGTCTGTGACGCATCTTTCAGGCTAACATTTCTATGCCTTCCTTATATGTTGGTTCACCCACCTTTAGGTTATGGTCATGCTCTGATTGTTTATTACTCTTTGATCCATATTCTCTCTCATCGTCACCATTTCTACCTTGTTAAAATCCAGATTTCACTTCTATATTATCTTTTTTTATGCTATCCTAATGAAACTGCTCTGTACTTTCGTACTGCTTTGCTTTCTCTACAAAAAAAACTTCTTCCTCTTTAAGAACTACCAGCAGCACTGGTTTCATTCAAATCTTTGCATATAAGCTCTGAGGAACCTGCTTTTATTATATTCACACTTTTCACTTTCCATTAGGTTCCATTCTCTTAATACCCACTTGCTTCTTCTCTACTCTAACTTTCCTTAGTTCTTGGCTACCTAAATTGTTTCTATGACAGGCTATCCCTTTCCACCAACTTTTCCACTTAAAAATTCTGATTACTGAGAAATTTATCTAAAATTTTCTTCTATTTTCTTCTATTTTCTAATTTATATATTCACTAACTCACTGAGGGAGCTGAAATTGAGTATAATTACTACGCATCAGCTAAAAAGTTCAGAGAGCACATACACACAAATGTAGAAGAAAAGAAAAAACCTAAATAAATGCTGATTCTCTTTCTCATCTAGTTTAAGCCTTATAATCCAATGTCCTTGCTCAAACTGAATTTTCTCTATGTATAACCAGAAGTATCTACCACTGTCTGGAAAGCCACAAAGTGGTACTAGGAGAAAAATAGGCAGGAGGTTCATGGATTATCCATGCACACATTAAAATTACACATTGCCCAAGAGTTTTCCCTCATAAAAGTAAACAACTCTTCTGTAAAAGGTTATTATATATGTGTATGACACACAAGTGGGTTTGTTCCCAAGTTAATGATTTATTAAGGGCTTTATATGGCTAAATATCAAAACTTTAGAAACTAGGCTTGATTTCTCCAAGTGTGCCTCAGGCCATAAAACAGAACATTCCATAGGAACAAATGAAGACAAAAGCTAGCACTGGGTCTTGGATTTGAGATGGATCATCCTACCAGACTCCAACTGAGTGGTAAAACCGGCAAAGGAAGACCCTGTATCAAACCATTGTCATGGGGAGTGGTACACAGAGAGAGTCAGAGTAGGCGGTGGAGAAAAGGTAAAAAGTGTAAATAAAACAGAAGAGGCCTTTATGAACCAATAATGACAGGTGCCAAGAGCTGAATGATATAATTAACTCAACTCTTTGCACCAAAGGGCAAAACAAACCCAAACAAAGGGAACTCAAGAGAAGTAACACAGCATGCTTCCCCTAAATCCCAGAGAAAACAATTCACCGACAAAGTATTTCTGATGCACAACCACAAAGTGACATAATTATCAGCTTTGAAGATCGAAACAAAAAAGACTTACACCCAAAGTAAATGAAAACTTTAAGCTGGAGAAAGTTATAGAGGCACGATAGAAGAAATATCTTTGTAACAGTCATCTTTCTCCCATATTGTCTTATTATTTCAAATATTAAATAGTCAAATCAGTGATGACCCAGAATAGGTAATTTCATTCAATGGCATTTGGCCTCAACGGCTTCTTGGGTCTCTTTTCTCAAAAAAAAAAAAAAGGAAGTTACACAGTTTCACACACAGAAAACAATCTAGAATAAAAAGAAATACTGTACTGTCTCTTTCTAGCCAAAATTTAATTTTCTATTTGTTCTTAGGTAATAATACCCTTTAAATTGTCCTTTCCACTAGCTATTCTACATGGAGGTAAAAGCTTTAAATCCTAGAAATAAGTAACAGTTCATACTAACAGACTAAAATGAATCAGAGTATGACTATTATGAAAGAAGGACAGGGCTCAGTATTCCAATGTCACTTTATTTTCACTACAGAAAGATACCTGTGTTTTCCTTAGCAGTGACAGGATATGCAGGAAGAGTTAGAGGTCATAAGAAAAAGGATAAGATTCATAGGTAGAGAGTACCCTGAACTGATATAAATTATATTAGCTGGAAGAGAATGTTTATTGTTCTAAACAATTTGACACTGAATTGAGTTTGGTACATCACATTTCAAATACCTGTTCTCCTTAGGATCACAGGTTCTAACACACATAGATGATTCACATTTGCCTACAGCGACTGGTAAGCTAAGTGTAGGAGGCTGAGAGAGACCCAGTTCTGTGGAAAGTGATGCTTTCTTTCAAAGTAGGAACATTGTACTTTTAGCCAAACAAACTAATACTTAAGACCACCTTATTATTCCAAGCACACTTGGTCATTTCAGGGACAACTGAAATGAGCAGAGCCCTAAAATGTTCTCCCACTAAACGCCTGATTTTTCTTTGCTTCCCTTACCTGATAATGAGCCTGGGCTTGCTGTGCTGAGTTCAAGGTGACATTGCAGAGCTTGCAGTACAGGGGCTTACACAGCTCCTCCAGGGCAGAGTCTTGCTCCCCTCCCTTAGGTAACTCTTCTTCCCCGGCCAGAGGCAAGGAAGCCTCCTGCCCAAAAGCCTTCTGCAGTGGAAGCTGCAAGGTTCCTGTAGACCTGGCGGCCACTGACATAGGAGGAGAGGATGAGGGCCGCTTAGGCGGAGGAAGCCCGGCGTGTTGCAAGAGGATCATTGGGTAGGAAAGCCTTGGGCATAATCCAGTGGGTGACAAGAAGTCGGGTCTTCAAATCTGAATTAACAGCAAAAAAACACTTACTTAAAAATGTGTCCTCAGCAATACGACATGTAAATGACTAGACCGTCTGACCCTTTCCTCTACTTCTCCAAATCATCTTTGGGACTTCTTTCTTTTCTGCCGCATCTAGTAGACTTCCTCTGTCTGTTAATCCACATTGACACAATGCTCTTCCACTGAGAACAGCTTTATAGATTTGGCTTGATTTTGCATGGCACAGCTCCAGCTGAGATCCCTCTGGCCCATGAACATTAACAGCATTGCATCCATGGCTAATTAAATCTAGATGTCACATGGCTGAAATAGACATCAAAGGTCACCTAGTCCAGACCCCTTCCCTCAGGCACACTTAAACACTCTTGATGATACTCACAGATAGACAAAAAAAACACTATCAGCAAAGAACCTTAGCAAATATCTCCATTCCATCAAAATGCTATCAAAAGAAGTGAAATAAAGAGTGTCACTCCTCAGAATGCTTCATCTGAAACTAGCTAAAATATCAAGGAACTCTGGGAATAACTCAGAGCTACCATGGGACAAAAGCAGATAAACGTACTTTCTTACCAACTAGAAATATTTGAATAATTGGCCAATGACTTTTCAGAGGAAAGGCTGCAAACAGACAACCTGTAGGCCACATGCAGTCACAGATACGTTCTGCTTGGAAAATACAGTGTTTTGTTTTGCTTTCATTTTTTTAAATTGAATTAGTCATCAACATTTAAAAATCAAAAGATCTGTGGCTTCTCTTGATAAAAGGATGATCTGGCAACACTTGGCCGAGGGTCTGACATGGGCAACAATTAGCTAGTTAGTGGGGAGAGGTGCCATCCTGGGTAGCCAAGCTTGCCTTCTCCAGGCCACCTCAGTCCCCACTCAGCCTGCTTCCTATAGACTTGAGTGTAGGACCCCATCTCATATAGCCTTAAACTGTATTCACGAGTCCCCTATAACATCAGAATGTTTTCTCTCCCTCTAGAAGTAAATCACCTACACAGAATAATGTATTAAGTAAGTGTCCTACAGAATACTGGGTCACACTACCATAAGCCCCAATGTAATTCTAGTTCCTCAGTCTTTCAACTATTTGTTCCCCTTCTTATTAAATAACTGATAGTGTTTATTCTGTTTCCCTCAGAAAAGACCCAATATGTTCCAATCCCTCTTTAATTTTATACATGATTTCTCCTGCCTCCCACTGATAGCAACTTCTACCCCTGAGTATCTCAAAATGAACCACAGTATGTGCTTTGAGTTCCCACGATTCTAATTAACCCAAATTAAAATCCTTATTTCAAAATCCTCTATTCCTTCCACTCTCAATACTATTAAAACCTCTTTTCTTAGTCAATTGAATATGGCTATTTTAAGCTGCTGAAATTTTCCATCTGCAGTAGAAATGTGTACATTTTATGACAATAATAGATTGACTAAAATTAACCAAGAACGTTTTGGGAAGTTAAAAGACTCTTTTACCACAGTTAATAAGTATACACATGTGGAAACTGCAACCAAGTAACAACTTTTATACTAAATTCAGGGTCGGGGGCAACAGAGAATATCAGTGCAATGGGCCAAGGATATAAATTATTAGTCATGGTATTTAATAATACTTCTCATTAAACAAAATATTTAGAAAAATATATTATTCTACTCTCAAGTAGACAAATGCTGTCCATATCTCTGAGAACATTTTAATAAAGGCATTATAGATTTAGAATACTTAAAAAGTCAGGTTCTTTATAATCACATTATTCTTCTCAAATCAAGCAAAGACAGATACAGATATTTTAAAAAGGAAAACGAAGGAGAACTATGTTTTTTTTTAAAGTTTAACTACCTAATTATAATAATTCATAATATTAAAAGACTACACCTACCACCTGTACAGAGATATACTGGATACCAAAGTGCCAATGACAAGCTGCCAGCTCAGAAGAGAAATGATGGAGGAAGGTGTTAAAACATGCGGATAAAGGAAATCAGCAATATAAACACAAAATCTAATGCTACCAATTGCCTAGACATGTCTGGACTTGTTTTATGAAAGCTCACTCCCACTTGAGGAAATACTAGCGTGCGTCTTGCCCAGTGTTGTCTACAGGTTTCCATCAAAATAAAGGACCTTCTCAAAGGACAGGGGTACAAGAGGCCCCCTTCCAGAGGTGATAAAATTCCCTGCATTGAAGAAAAGATTCTCACCAAGTAGAGACTTACCATGATTACATTTTTACCTTGATAATATTTAAAGAATAAATAGTCCAAAATTCTTTCTTATAATATTTAACAATCAAAATGACGTCAACTCCCCCAAAAGAACCTGTGCAGGACAATTACATCAGGTATTACTATACATGCCAAAAAAAGAAAAACTTAGCATAAAATAAAAATCTGAAAGAAATACTAAAATGAAGGCTTTGGTGAAAGCAGAAATGATGGAATATAAAGATACAAAGATACTCAAAACAGATGCGACTCAGATCTGTTTAACTACTGCATTTGATTGAAAGAAAATAACATGATGGCTGATGTAAATAAAATATTCCTCAAACCATAAAAGCCATTCAATATGATGCTTGAAGTGGCATAAATGAAGGATTTATGATGGTTAATGTTCTGATTCGAAGGGGTTAAGGGGACAATAAAGAAAATCAAAGCTTCACATTATACCTGTTTAAAGAAAACGAATGATCAAAGCATACTTAGTTTTCATGATTGGACTGGGCCTACTCCGTCACATACCGTATAAAAGACAAGCACTTTCTCATTTTGAGAAATCTTCTGAGGAAAGAGAACACAATAAAGGAACAGGTTACTAGCACCTCAGCAAACTAGGGAAGTCTGTAATTGGGAAATCTGGACAGGAGGGAAAGCCGGTGACCATTATTCAGAGGTCAACAGAACGCAGGGAGAAGGAATAGGAGAGAGAAAAATAGAAAAATGATCAGTTGAGGTAAGGTATATCATATAAGAAAGACTCAAAAGAGAGCAGGAAATTGGGGTAGAAGAGGCCTCGGTGAATTGGCGAATGTTTTCCAGAATCAGCTATGACGGTTTCTAATCCTAGGGAACCTTCTACATATTTGAATCAAAGCTACATATACTTCAGCAACGCCCACATATACCTTACATTCCTAAAATGTGCATGCATACACACAAGAGTGCACACACACACATGCACGCACCTCAATTCCGTAAGGATGCCATCACGAAAGATGGAATCCCCGGTCTCCCACGGGGCTGGGGCAAGCGCCAGGGCCAAGGCAGCTGCACGCCTAGATGATCCAAAGAGTACACGTGAAATGCTGCTTAAAAACAAACAGATAAATAAAAGCAGCGCAAGCCAGTCACGTGGAGGGCAGGTGGAAAGCCCGCACCGGAAAGGAACCGCTAGTCCCGTAGTTCCTGGGCTCGTCCTAAATGCTCCGAGACTCGCGATCGCCCGCACTTACCGGAACCCCCGGGACGCGCCGCGGAGAGTCTGCGCCGCGTCCGCCCGGGACGTCCGCCGCCGTCTGTCCTGGGCGCCCGGCTCGGCCTGGTTCAACTCCGCCTGCCTCCGAGCAACTTTCGCGCCTGGCCCCGCAGAACCCCCTTGGCTGCTGAAGGCTGACTGTCAAAACTCAGTCCGACCGGACCCACAGGGAAACAGCTGCAGGAAGTGACTGCGGAACCGGGAGGCGGCGGAGGAGGAGACTGAAGGCGCCGGCCCGGCGTCGCTAGTGCGCATGTGCCTGGCGGAGGAGGCCCCGCGGCGGCGGCGGCGACTGCGGCGGCGGTGGCGGAGGCTCCAGCAACACCGGCGGGTGGTGTGCGTGCCCACAAGGTGCGGGGACTGTGAACGTAGGGGTGCTGAGCTGGTGTAGGGCGCAAAGGAACGAGTCAGAGGAAGGGCGCACCACCACCAATGGTAAGAGCTCTTCATCATATAACCTGGAAAGTTGATCCAGAGCAGAAACCTGGGCAGGGTTTTTGCAACTTTCATCTCGTATCTTTGAGTTCCAAACGTTTTTCATTCCAGCCCCACCCTCAGTCCGCTGATTGCCGCTAAAGTCGCTGAGTGGAGCTGCTAGAATATCCAGGATTCTTTAAACTGCTGCGACAGAAACTTTAAACTGCACATTTCCCGGGATGGAGGAAGAATAGTGTGGCTGCCTTCTCAATGGTCTCCAATCACACGAGAACGTTTGCCCTCTCCCCCGCATCAAAGTGGGAAAGAGAAACAGATAGTGAAGACTTCTCTTGACCCCTGGAGCTTCACTTGCAAGGCAGTAAAGACTAGGAAGAGACTGCCTAAAGCTAAAATGTCACATCCTCTCATAGTCAACTTCAACACTTTCATGATGAGCTGAGGAAATTCAAACTCTAACATTTTATTAACTTGTAAATTCTCCCATAATAGTATTTGCTGGGGATGGGGGGAGGGGTAAAATATACATAACATAAACTTACCATTTTCACTATTTTTAAGTGTTCAGTTCAGTGCCATTAAGTACATTCACAGGGTTGTATGCTTATTTTTTAATCATTAATTAAACTGTCAAGGAGATCTAACTACAGCAACATGTGCCCTAGTAGTAAACAAACTACTGCAGGAAATTAAGGCTATTTCTTTGGCTGAAACACACCTTCCAGTACAACCACCAATAAACCAAATTGACTATTTTCTAGAAATGGCTTCATAAATACAATGATTGTTTAGCAATCACACCCACAGCTAGTGTACATAGGCCATTTGGGGAGAGTAATCCTTCATGTCTCCATAGAAAACACAGAATTTTCTGAACTGATTTTGTTTATGTATACATACTTTATATTAAAATTTTTTAAATGGACACATTGTTTATAGGGAGTCTGGTTTGATTCTTCTGCATGTAGCTGTCCAGTTTTCACAATACCATTTACTGAAGAGACTGTCTTTCCTTCATTGTATATTCTCTTTGTCATAGATTAATTGACTATATAAGTGTGAATTTATTTCTGGGCTCTGTATTCTGTTCCATTGATCATTTTTGTTCCATTGATCTATTTTTGTTCCAGTACTATACTGCTTTGATTATTGTAACTTTGTAGTATAGTCAAAAGACAGCATGAAACCTCTAGCTCTGTTCTTCTTTCTAAAGATTGTTTTCACCATTCGGGGTCTTCTGTGTTTCTATACAAATATTAGAATTATTTGTTCTATTTTGTAAAATATGTCATTGGTATTTTGATAAGGATTACATTGAATCTATAGATTGCTTTGAGTAGTATGGTCATTTTCACAGTATTAATTCTTCCAATCCATGAACATGATATATCTCTCTGTCTGTGTGTTGTCTTCAATGTCTTTCCTTAATGTCTTACAGTTTTTTGAATACAGGTCTTTTATCTCCTTAGGTAGGTTTATTCCTAGATATTACATTATTTTTTATATCATGGTAAATGGGATTTTTAAAATTTCTCTAGTAGTTCATTGTTAGTGTATAGAATGCAACAGATTTCTGTATGCTAATTTTGTATCTTGTGACTTTACCAAATTCATAAACTCTAGTAGTTTTTTGGTGGTGTCTTTAGGATTTTCTATGTATAGTATCATGTCATCTACAAACAGTGACAGTTTTACTTCTTTCTTTCCAATTTGAATTCCTTTAATTCTTTATCTTGTTTGATTGTGACTAGGACTGCAAACCCAAGCAGACTAATAGGGGGCATGATGCCACTTTGATATTTTGTTTATCAGTGTCAACTTATTTCCTGTAGTATCTAATAGTCTTCAACATGTCCAGACAGTTCTCTTTCCTCAGTGAACAGAACAGTCACCTGAATAAATGAACTTAGGTCATTGGACAAGGACTGAGGCTACCGTCAGAGCATGTACTTGCTGTGATGTTTCAGGGACCTTCTTCTTGAGAATCTGGCCACCTCTTCATTCAGCAGGTTCTAGACCTGAAAACTGACTCAGGTCTGGGCAAGGGATCATCTCTTTTTAAATTATGATAAAATTCACATAGCATAAAGTTCATGATTTTACATTTTGGAATGTATAATTCAGTGATTTTTAGTACACTCACAATATTGTACAACTATCCACTATCTAATTCCAAAATATTTTATTACCTCTAAAAAGAAACTCTATACCCATTAAGTAGTAGTGACCATTCTCCATTCCCGCAGTCCCCACCAGCAGCTGATAACTGTTCATCTATTTTTCTCTCTCGGTGGATTTGCCTATTCTAGACATTTCATATAAATTGAATCATACAATATGTCACTTTTGATCAGTACTTTTTTCTATTTTATTTATGTTTACTTGTAGTGTAGTTGATTTACAGTGTTTCAGTGTACAGCAAAATGAAAAAAATATATATATATCAATCACACACACACCCCTGGATGGATTATTCTGTGCCTTAATCTTAGTTATTGGCCTGAAAGCCAGGAGAGAGGGCTTCTGTTGCTTTGCAGCGGAGAGGCCTCTGTAGTGTCTTTCCCATGGGGAATAAAAGGTAGGAATGCTGCCTCTTAATAGGGAGGGGCAGGTCATCCTGTAGGCTCTGAATGTTCAGAGAAATCTGAGGATTCAAAATCTTTGAGGTTATCCACACAAATGTCCTCATCCCATGTATCAGGGACCCAAGTTTCCCAACCAAAGCCCTGATCTTGATGAATTGCCGTCCTGTCTTAGCTAAGAAGTAAATGAAGTCTATGAAGCTTGATGACTCAAACTAAGTCCCGAATATGGTTTTCAGTAATTTCTGCTCTCTCATTGCAGGAAATAAAAGCTATTGTAATCACTAAAGAGGCTTTATGACCTCCACACTTGGTTTTCAACTATTTGTTAAATGCCGTCAACATTTCATTAGCATGCTGTAAAGCAAAGCATCAATGAAATGTAATACCAGCTAGATAATTTCACGTCCTTGTATTCATTGTCCACCCACCACTACCCTGGCACTTTTCCAAAGCCTGAATTATTGTACCAGTCAAGGTATCCTCCACCATTTTCCCAAATCACCATTGGTGAAAATGTTAGCAATTTGGCTGTTAACTTGTGCTAGAAAATATTTCTGTCTCACATACCACCTGGAATGCAGCTATCATTGCCAGCCAAATGATGAATGATCCAGTTTATAATCTTCACTGCTGGTGCCTTACTTTGTCACTTAAGGTCCATGAGTAAGCAGACACTATGGTGGTATTAGGAGTGCATGAGGTTTGTGGAGGGTGATATCTACCAAAGTTAAACGGAATAAGTCAAGGTTGGGCAGGAAAAGTCTTCAAAAAACAATGTGGCTCTAACAGTCTTGGCCAACCTGATGGGGAACTCCAAAATAAAAACTTCCTATTAGAACCCTTGCATCCTAATTTATAATATGTGTCTTTGAATATAGAAACAATGTTTTGAATTAGTTACCATCAGGGAAAAGTTTAGTGAAAGCACAGACTTGTGGTAAGTGGACAAAATGTTGTAACAAAGAATGTACCAATTTTGCAAAATTGGATTGAAGCAAGCTCCTACCAAGCATGTTTTCAACTTCTTGTCAATTTTCTCTTTTTGCTTGAGGTAACAATACTTTGAAGACCCCAGAACCCCATAAATGTGCAGAGAGAGAGAACAAAACTTTTGTTTGTAAGTGTTTGTTTGTTTTTTACTACACTACAAGCTAGGAAGAGAAATCACCAAAAGGAGAAACTCTGAATACAGATACAAAGATAATTGAGTGCAAGCAGAAATTTCAGGCTGATGTCAGACATTCTGTAAGAAAGAGCCACTAGTGACATAAGGAAGACTGAAAGGCTCCTTAATCCAGGGTTAGTATATTTTATCATTTGGGGATTACTTGTCAAAAAACATTTTCAATGAAGAAAGTGAAGTTTTACCATTAAAGCTATAATTTTTAATCACATGTAAATTTAAGTCTCAAATGGTTCATGATCCTCAAGAACAACTTTCTTCACCTACCCTCAAAATTAGTTTTTCATTGAAGCATGCTATTGTTTTCAGTAAAAATAAATTCACAATTTATCACTTTTAACCATCCTGTTAAACATACTAAGAGGCAAATTTTTTCAGGTGAAGTGTTCTCAGTAAATGGTATAGTATTAGCTAATAAATTCAGGAGACAACCACCCCACAGCTTTATATGTGATAGATTTCACCCCATTTATTAATTTTTTCAGTTGCTATTCTGTTCACTGAAAACTCACCATCTTGTTGAAAATATTTTTGTTTGCACTTTGCAAATAAACATAAATTCACAAATATTCTCATAGTAAATAAAAATTAAAAAATCAATGAAAAGCTACATGAATAATATTTGTCTTAACATGTTTGAGTACATGTTTTGAGCATATAAAAATGTGTCCTTCAATGGTAAAGTTCAAAAAGGTCAATTGTTTCAGCTTAGATACCAATTTTTGAGGTAAAACATATTTTAACCAAATCTACAGTACCATATTACCACCAAATTTTCTCCTATTCAGTAGCATCATTGTCCACAAGAATTCTGAAATTGATTTCAAAGGTAGATTTAATTATTTCATTTCTTGTTAAAAATTTTAGTAATTGTTCTTCATAATTTGTGTGGTTGGTTTTTAAAAACCACCGAAAGGTGGGCGGTTTTACACAGCTACTCGGACTTTATCCCCATAAGTCATACTTAAGTTCAAGCTA